CCAAAAGGAGTAGTTATCGCTGTTTTGGGTATGTCCTCTGGTGCTACAGGAATTTGGTGGTAAGCTCGAACCAGGTCAATGACAGTGAAGACAGTTTTCCCATGCAGCCGCTGAAAGATGTCTTCTGGTAGTGGTATGGGGTACCGATCTGGCACAGTCTGGGAATTGAGCCTCCTAAAATCACCTGTGGAACGCCATCCGCCTTGCTTTTTCTGGACCATGTGTAGAGGACTGGCCCATGGACTGCTGGAGGGACGGATAACAGCATGATGCAACAGGAGGTCGAAATCCTCTTTAGCAATCTTTAGTTTCTCTGAGTTTAGCCGACGTGGACGGTCATTGACTGGCGGTCCAGTGGTGACTATGTGGTGATGAGTTCCCGTAGGGGCGTCCACTGATGGGGCTGACCTTGGACGGGTGATGTCAATAAACTCTTCCAGCAACTTGCTATAGGGTTGACTGAGTGTAGGAGGTGCATATTCTGCAATATTGACAGTGGAAACAGTATGAAGTTCGGTTTCATGCATCTCAGCAGGAGAAGACAGTGAGGTGAGAGAGTCCAGAAGGCGCTTGTGCTTTAAATCAGGAAGGAGGCCATGATGTGAAAGCAGGTCGGCACCTATGATTGCTGATTTGACGTCTGCAATGATAAATGCCCATTTGAAGGATCTGCGGAGTCCAAAATTGAGGTTAAGAAAGTGTTGATCATACGTTTTGATAACTGTTGCATTGGCTGCATATAGCATGAGGTCAGCAGGCAGAAGTTTTCGTTGAAAGAAGCTTCTTGGAATCAAGGATACAACGGAACCACTGTCGATAAGGAACTTCATGCCAGTGACCTTGTCTATGACGTGCAGGCGACTTTCTTTAGATGGGAGACAGGTGCTGTTGATATTGCTGTCGCTTACCACCTGAACAGGCGACAGCATATTTAGTTTTCCTGGCGCGGAGATGCTAGTGGCAGCTGAGATGTGCAGGGTTGCACACATTTTTGGGCCCGGGCACCGAATTTTCGATGATATCGGCATTCTCCAGAAGTGACAGAACGCTCACGTGGTTGTCGACTGGCAGAGGTGAGACTCTGTCTGATGGCAGAAGTGAGGTCCTTCTGAGCAATGGTTAGTTCTGTGATGGCTTGTCTGAGTTCGTTCAGCTCGGAGGCTACTGAAGAACCATGTCCATGCTGGCGAGAGCTCTGGTTGACGGCCATGACACTGCCACCAGGGATGTTTGTCATGAGCTCATCAGCTGCAGCAGCTAGTTCGTTAAGTGAATTGGCCTTGAAAATTTTCAGCAAGTGCTGAATGCTGACAGGCAGAAGGGCCAGCCATCGTATGCGGAGCACGTCTTCTGTAGCACGATTGCCGGCAAGGGCTCGCATTTCACGAAGCAACTGTGAGGGTTTGCGGTCACCTAGTTCTAGATCAGTGAGCAGTTTGTGCATCTGAGAGTCTTCGGAGGCTGTTAGTCTACTTATTAGGTTAGACTTGAGATTTTGGTACTTATCTTGAGGTGGTGGAGCCTTCAAGATGTCTGCAACTTCCGTGATTGTGTCCGGGTCCAGTGATTTTACCAATTGATAGTACTTGGTGCTATCGGACTGTATACGGTGGGCTTGAAAGACTGATTCAATCTGCAGGAACCATAGGTCTGGATGAGAACGCCAAAAGGGTGGCAGATTGCAGTTGTAAACTGCGTCAATGGCATAACTCTGCTGCTGGTTGAGCATCATGGGGGCTGGCAACGAATTTACTACTGGTTGGGCATATGCTTGCTGATAGCTCACCGGGTGATTTGTTGGATTAAAATGCACCGCGGGATCAAATGCTGTACTGCCGTGAGGGCCAGAAGGTTGAGGCATAGGAATACTCACTGACGAACTCCTGTCTGGTTGCTGGTTGGTAAAAGAGCTGTTTGCAGCCAATTGCTGATCAGGATCTACTGAGGAGTCGAAATTGCTTTGCATCTTGATTTTTTTAGCAGTCAGACACGTCTTTTAGGTTAGAGGACGAGTGGTTCGCGGAGATATATCACGTCGGGGTCACCATTTATAGCTACTACTGCTATGTGTTTGCTTGATATATCACCAGCGAATGAAAACACTGTTTTACTAATAACTCGGTTTAATTATGGGCACTGAACATACAAATAAATCTAAATACTTTTATTTTCTTAACAACAACACGATATCATCATTGCGCGGCAACAAGCTGACTTGAAGTAAACAACCTGGGACAGCTGTCTTCTGTCACGTCATGTCAGGCCGCCAGGGTTGTACACAATAGTTGAGCCATCCAGGGTTTAGCACAACGGACTCGCGGAACACTATTAACTAAAATTAAACCCAATATGACAACCATGTTTATCTTGTACCGTTGTTAATTCTTCAAATAATTAATAGAGGTCACCACACATACGTAGTGCTGTCACTCCAAAAAAGAGCAGGTGACCTGAACCAACAAATATAATAATATAAATGAATAATATTTTAAAAAAAGTCCTATCAGTACTGTCAATGTTGTATCATCGTCCAAAAAATGTGAATTTGTCCTTTTACACCTTTTACACCTTTTTAAAATTAATTATTTCTAGTAACGTTTCTTAAAAATATATATGTCATTGTTTTTCGTCTATATACACTAATATTTACACAACAAGAAATCCCAAAGAAGCCAAAAAAACCAAAAAAACAAAAAGAAAGAAAAAACATGTTCTGAAGAGACACCATTTTGACAAATAAAGGTATTTTTTCACATAATGGAATTTAATAAAAAACTTCCAACCCTTTGTAAACTTATCGAATTTCTACTGCTAATAAATTTCAATAATTTTCCTGGAATTTTTTCAGACTAAAAATATCAACCGACCTTCTTGTTTTTGGACATGAGTATAGCACTCAAAAGGGTAACATCCCTCATTGACAATTTTGCCTAATGCCCAGGTATTGTTCCTCCGAATCGACCTGATTTTGACAACTCTCATTATTATTAAATATGTAAGTTACAGTTTTTAGATATCAAGACTAATATAACCAAGTTTAGAGGTTGATTGATTCAACGAAAATAATGCAACTGGTGCTCATTGTGGTATTTTTTCAATTTTAGTCTTTTTATACCTGAAGATGAAGCGTTGAAGCTTCGAAACCGGTAGTACATAAATAAAGAATTTTGGGATTTTCAAGACTATTTTTCTTCAAACCTATTATCTGCCCAAAAAATGGACCACATACAATCCTTATTTCCATAATAATGCCTTGTCCCAAACTTAAGGTAAAATCTGTTTTTTTTTAAAGATAAAAGTCAAAATGACAATATGTTGGCAATATAATGTAAAAGTGTCAATGCTTTCAAGTTTTTTATGTAGTGTGTTGCCAACAAAGTTACTAAATTTTTGACTTGGGGAATTATCTTTAAAAAAAAAAACGAACTTTATTAACTTTTAACAACAATTTGAGGTATTTTTTTTTTTAAATTATTGTTTTTCGCTAAATTACCATGGAAAAGCTATAAACAGAGTGCTGCCAATATTCAAAAAAAAACAAAATTCAAATTTTTTTAACTGATGGCGCCATCTATTGACAATGTATAATAATGAAGAAAGTAAAAATTCTTCCTTATCATTCATCATTTCCATAATAATTATTCTTTGTTCCAAACTTTAGGTAACTTTTAAACAATTCGGAGTCTTTCTTATAGTTATCAAAATAATTGAAGCTATTAGTGCATGAAGGTGTTAACTCAATTTTTAGCTGAAATCCCGAAAAATGGTATTTATGAAGGTGGTAATTTATTCTTTGCGTTAGTAAAGACTTTGGATCATAGATGTCACCTGGTACCTTAAAAACTGAAGTTTAAATCGCGTTAACTCAAGTTTTGTCGAACTTATTTGGAGCAAGAAGGTGTTAAGTCTCTATAATTGTGCAAGAAGGGGTTAACTACTGATATAAAAACTGAAGAAAAAAAAAACATAGAAAATGAAAAAAGTTGACCGTAATATTAAATTTACATTTCTTGTCTGTGTTTTGACGCATCTTGATTTTGATTTTAGTTTAAACATAAAAAGCTCCAACAATTTTACTTTAAACCTAAATATTTCAAAATTGTGAAAAAGTGACTTAACACCTTCATGCACTAATAGCTTCAATTGTTTTATGCAAAATTACCGTTTAAAATGTTTAATATCTCAACCTATGCTGCCATCTATCAACATTGTATAATATTAAAAATGAGTATTATAATGAAAATCTGTATCGTAATGAAGTTCATTATGATACAGATTTTAATCGTTTATTAGCGTATTATGAAATGTCAGTAGAAAAATAACTATTTTGTACGCTCACGACCGGACAAAAAAGTGACGTCACAGAAATTTCCTAGATTCCATCGCTTTGAACACCGTTTGCGGAAAAAATGGTATGTTTTATTCGGAGAAAAGCACTTTTTGCGGCTCATCTAAAATTGTCGGACTCACTACGTTCAGCCGTCAAACATTTAGTCTCGCCACAAAAAGTATCACTTTTACTCCTAATTAAACAATATACTATTTTATTACACATGCATCATATTCAACGATTATCGCACGCTGCAGCGTGCATAAAATGATGTTTATGATGCGCCTACTTTTTCAATGGTTTGATAAAAACGTTTGATTTACCTTTATTACCTAGATATTTACCCGCCGTTTAAATTACTATTTATCAAAATGAATCAACACATTTAAAACATTTTTGAGATAATGATGCATTCGAAATAAAAAATAGCGTATGATATGCATGTATAAGAGGGCCTTTAAAGCCCCTGCGACTTACAAAACACTCCGATATTTATGTCACGCACCCCAGAGGCGAGACAATAATATAAAAGTTATATTAAATTATTTCATCGAAACAAAATTCTCACTATTTGCGTCCTACAAAACCTGCAATGTGGTTACGTTGCACAATTTAAGCATAAGTTACCATAATGATAAAGACTGTTTAAAATAATATTTTCGATAAGATAAAGTTATCATTATTGATCTTGACTAATATTGTTAGCAACTTCATGTAGAATGTGCTGAAAAATTGGCTGATTGAAATAGTTAGAAAAGTTTTTGAAGTAGGTAAGTCAATTATAGGTAGAAAACGGGGAAATACCCAAACTTGAAACCTAATAAAGCTGCTTTCTTAGGCATTTATAATTTTTCTTTATTTGGTATAGGAACTTTTTTTTTCAAATCTAGACAAGAAATAATGTCCAAGCCTGGCCCCCAAAATTATGGAATCCCACCTCCAGGTATAGGAAAACCTACAATCATCACAAGCAATTTTATTGTTGAATTTTTTTTCTAGCTTATTCAGAAACAGAAAATTTACAAGAACCTTTACCAACCGAGCCACCAGTAGTCTTTGGGCCTGACCCAATGAATCTTATTTGTATTGCTTGTGGAAACAGGACTATTACTGATGTTAGGACTACGCCAAATAATAGAACCCATATGATTGCTATGCTTCTTTGTATTATCGGGTAAGTGACACAAACTGAAACTGATTTTTTAATATTTTTTTTTTCTAGAGGGCTTCTTTGTGCCTGGATTCCTTACTGTTACAAACCTTGTATGACCAGCAGACATTATTGTTCAATATGTAATGCTTACTTAGGTCAATATTCTGATTAGAGATCCCTGAACATCACTGTTATTGTACATTTCCGTATAGCTTATTTTGGTTGAATATACGCTAAATAAAATATGAATTGGCATGAGAAATTCAAATTTCAATTTTATGTAAAATACACGCAACACATTTATGTTTATCTACCATAAGTTATCATTCAATACATTTTCCTGATACGTTTTATATCTCTTTGGATCACGAAAGGATACTGTAAACATCTGTAAATAACCTGCAGATTCACTGAACCCTGTGAGAAGCTTTAATAGAGAAAAAATTGTTATATGCCTATTATTGACTGAAAAAAAATCAGTACCTGGAAACGCAAAATTTTCTCATGGCTTATGAATTCCCTTGATGCCTCTGCCATGATAAACAGTGTGGTACAGAGTGTTCCGTTTCAGTGACGCCGGGCTACAAGCCATCTAATTTCGTTAAAAGGTTGTTACGTTGAAAAGCGATGTCACGATAGCTCTATGTAAAGTCCGTCTAACTGTAACACTACTCGCCGGGCTTATTAGATTAAAATACACAACATACACATAAGCCAGATTCAAGTACAGTTAAAATTTCCTTTTAAGGATCGTCTTTATGCATTTGACTAGTTCTAATATCAGATAGAATTTCGTGCAATAACGCCATTGCCTTTTTATATCCTACAAACAAAATAAATTACAAAATAACACATTCTTCGGAATAATTTATGACTTGGGCGTAACCCGGTACACTTTCATAACTCTATTTAACATAGTCCTTTGTGTCTACCTTATACAATAACATTAGATAACAACGCAACGGACAAAGATTCCCTGTCGCAGAAAAGTAACTCTGTGGGCGATGTTGGTATTCTATATTTTGTACACTTTCTCCACGAAGTGGTTTTGCGACACTTATATTATTTAGTATCATTAATAACTCAAAATGACAGCAAACTAGACTTAGAGATTGTTCTTCTTACTTGATATAATTTCTACATTTTCTGGAGTCATCGAAGAGACCACCTAGTTATCTTCTACAAGTCCACCTAAAAAAGATGCAAGATCATACAACAACTTGTCCGATGATTAGTTCGTTACATAAAGAAATCAATGCGAATCTTGGATAAAGATCTACACACAATAATAATCCGGAAGAAAAAAAAGACGATTACTTTGCAGTTTTTCGATGTCGTTCAACTTATTAGCTGAGTTCTTCTTTAGGATATTTATTTTTGATGAAAATTGTTTGCAAGAAACACTACTATGCCATACTTTTGTATTTTAATATTGATTGGTCTCACTAAACTACCTTATCATATGTGTGAGACATGCAAATGTCCAATATAAGATTTGTGACTTTACAAGCGGGAGGTTCATTTATTTAAATTGGACTAACAAATCCAATGCAGATCATCTTTGGTCATTTGAAAATCTAAAAATTTAAGTCAATTCTTCGAGAATGACCTGTTATTTAGAAAACATCGGACAGGTGCACATCTACTTGTGTAATAGCCCAGAAAAAAAATGTTCCTTTAACCGATCCCATCCCGCCAATAATATCTCTCTTAAACAATGCTTTAAATTGATGTGGCGGTGACTTAACATAAATTATTATAAGGCTATAGATTAGTTAAAAAGATAATCGAGAAATGTATAGCCAAATTAGGAGATCAAAAATTATGTTTTCGGTTTTTTATAGGTACAATCAACCACAAATACAATTTAGTTATAATGTGGTTTGTGGGCACTTTTTAAGGATATTGTACCAGTTCATTTTCTCACAGGATATTTCTCTTCTTCCTCTTCATTACCTATGTAAGTACCTACTAAAAATATTTGATTTTCTCTTAGCACTCATTTCCCTTTCTGTTAAATGGACTCTTAGGAAAGAACGCAAAACTTGCACTACTTCAGTAGTAACCGTATTTACTCACCAATTAGCAATAAGATGAATTTCTCGGTAAAATGGACGATAACTTTTCTAATTATTTCCATTGGTTCTACGACAGTGGAGAAGGAGGCAGTTTACTCGCGTGTCCTCGCCTGCAAAATCACTTCTTTCTGCCGACATTTCAATTAAGTGTTTTTATTGCCATAAACTAGATTCAATCTGATTACCCGTCATTATACGTTTAGTGTTGGGTATTGATGCGAAGAAAAGATATTTTAATAATTGTCCTGAGTCATACACGCAAAAATTATCAAAATTTTAAGTTATCAGTACCCACTATAGAAAATCTGGACCTTTTTGTTATATTCAGTCAGGCAACCAGACTCTTATACATTTTTATGTTTTCAGGCCACTTATTTTACTCATCATCATCATCATCATCATCATCATCATCATCATCATCATCATCATCATCATAGGCGATCACTCGATACCGAGTATGATTATTTCCTATTCTATTTCTAATTTCGTCAATTGTGCGTTTTCTGATGGCTATATAAACCAATTCTGGAGTCGCACACTTTGCCACAGTTTTGGCACACCTAGCCTCTGTCAGCATTATCTTTTCCTTTGTTCTGTTGCTTCTTCCTGCGGTCCCTCTTTTCGGTCTCGTGTCTCTGTCGCTGTTCTTCAAAAGTTTGTGCTGGATTTCTCTTGCATTTGTCTTACACTGAAGACCATGTAATCTGTACTTCGGTTAGGTCTAAAACTACACTGTGTCTCTGGGAGGTTCCCTTTGGCAGTTGGAATTAGACGATTTGATAATATTGTCACGGCTCTAGGGTGCGTGGGGTGAACTACTTCCAGCCTTTATGTATCGGTAATCTATTCGTGTAGAATCCAGAATAAACGCGATAATATTTTTGCCCGAAGAAAGCAGTATTTTCAAGATTTCAAGGGAAATTCTGTACATGGTGGCGAACGCGCCACACTGCCCTCTTCTGAAGGTTGATCGCCAAGCTGTATCCCCAGAAGTCGTGCCCTTATTTCGTCGGCATAATCTCGAATATCTTTTAGTTCTTCTTCAGGTATTCCAAACATCAGATCGCAAGGTAACCTGAGTTCCCTTCCAAAAACGATTCTAGCTGGACTTTCACCTGTTGACCCGTGAACAGCTGCTCTGTAAGCCATTAAAAATAGAGGCAAATGTTTATACCAATCTCGCTGGTTCTTTACGAACACTTTCGTCAGGTGTTCCTCTATGGTCTTATTAAATCGTTCTACCATGCCATCAGACTGTGGATGTATAGATCCCTGTCCTTGTCTTATGAATGCCCATGATCTCACAAATTTTCACAAAGATGGCAGATTCGAACTTTCGTCCCCTATCTGAATGCAACTCTAGTCGCACACAATAACGACTGAAAACTTCGTCCACTAGCACTTGGGCAATCGTGATGGCTTCTGGTTTGGGAATAGCGAAAACTTCTGGCCAATTACTGAAGTAATTCATGATAACCAAGATGTGTTGTCGCTCTGATTCAAGGAACGGTCCGGTAACATTTATCGCTATTCTTTCAAATGGGAGACTTCACCCAATAAAATTTTCCCGAATTTTGTCCAAAGTCTTATTAACTCCAAAATGTGCCCCTGAAGTTCCGTCATGTATTTCTTTTAATATATCTTCTACTCGATCTTTTGGAATAACCAGTTGGCTCTTAGTAGATTTTCCATCGGCACTTTCCCAAATTCTTTCCAGTAAACCATTTTCTATGGCCAGAGAGTTGCACTGAGCCCACAACACCTTGTAAATCAAACTCTTGTTCGACACTTACCTCCATTCTGGCATTCTGGCCTACATTCATCATTTTCTTTAAGATATAGAAATTGCCCGTTGTCCTGGTCTGCTTCTTGATTTTGATCTCCTCTCATTTGTTTGGTAATCCATTTATCATCAACGGTCAGACCTGTTCTTCTCACAGGGGGACCAGTGTTTTTCTCATGCCTGTCGATTCTTTGACGATGCTTGCAGTCTTCTTTGCATGGCCGTCTAGACAGGGCGTCAGCATTTTTATGCAGGTTTCCAGCAAGCGTATTCTGAGTGCGTATTCTGTAACGCCATAGACATAGAAAATTCTTTCTAGGCAAGAAATTTCTTTCTATTATCACAAAACCTTATTCTGTATGCCAGTTCGGCAGCACTCGAGTCCCGTTCGGTGTTCGGTCGGCATAGAAAAATAGAAAGACCCGTTTAGGTCTTTCTGTAATGGAAAAATTGTTTCTCTCTTTTTCTAACACATTATCATGAAACGTTTAATTTCTGTCAGAGTTTATGTTATGTTTATTAGTGGTTATGTTTTGTAGTTTTGTCAAAGCATAGAATAGCTATGAAAATGATATATATTTTCCGCAAGTGTTAGGTACAATATTTTTCCTACAGGCGAAAAAATGTAAAATTTTTCTTTTTTTTTTGACATATCAGTGCGGTAAAATTTTTTCCGCACTGACAGCCGTGCGGAAAAACTTTTTCCGCACTGATATGTCAAAAAAAAAAGTTTTACCGCACCGTAAGGGAAAACTCATTTTCCGCACGCATATCAGTGCGGAAAATCGATTTTTCCGCACGGCTGTAGGAAAAAGGTTTTTTCTCTATTTGGGAAGTAAAATAACCGCCTTTAATATCCCCCTTTCCCTGAAATGTTATTTTAGCCTTAGCATTTAGTAAAAATACTGTGGTAAAATAGCGCAAATCACAAAAGGGTAAGTGGTGCGTACCATCGATACAACGTATCACTCCCGGAAATTCAAATTGAGCCATGAATTCCTCTTTCTTGAGCTGCTTCTCAGTCTCGGCTAGGGAAAATTTAACCCACTGAGGAGCAATGGCCTCTATAGAGCCAAATATACTTCATCACGTAATGCCCTGCTAAATGTTGCTGAGACATACATGTATTGAAGTCGTCTCCTACCGCCTACTGATAGGAGCCTTGAGCGAAAAATCTTAGAGCACCCAATACTTTAATTTGAATTGGGATTCTTCCGGCTCTAACTACAGAAGCCATGTGTGGAGTGAGGTCCGTGATCAGCCGCTGGGCGAGATCTCTGCTAAGGCGGAAACACCTTATACTCATCTCGCAAGGTTATCCTTTCCAATCTTAATTGTTCTTAACGCTCTTCTTCTTCCGCATCGTCCACAAAATGCATGAATATAAGGTATATAATGGCTTATATCGATAACAAAAAAATAATCAATAACAATGTGATATTGATATT